GGACTCCGGTCAATTTATACGGAGTACCGACTGCTAAATTCGTTGCAAGACTGCTTCGAGATGACCGCTGTGCTCCGCCTCTGATTGGCTATACACCACAATATCATCCCCGTACACCTCCACGTTCTCCAAGCCATTCAATAATCGAAGCATTAAACGTCGAAGGTAAATGGGGCTCCTAATAATCCAAAAGCATCCTTTTAAACTGGTATGCTTCTTCACCGACAATAAACACCGTTTTTCCTCAGTCTTCTCGTTTGATCGCCCGTTGCCAATATCCAGAGTTCAGATTTAGTACCGTGAATATCCTCGACTGTTTTAATCTGTAAAAATATGTCAGCAACTGAGATGTCCGGGAGGTAAGTGTTGTCTGGAAATCCACCATTTTAGCGATTAAGCGAGTAATAACGATTATCGCATCGATTTCGAACGTTCTGAGATGCTCAAAATTCTGCACGTGACTACCAATCACCTGACATTTCGGCCAAATCTATGGAAACCACTAACCTTGGTAGATGACCTTCCAGCTCCGGAAGTCGAAGGTCAGTAAGAGACTTATATATACAGCTAAGGTCCGCGGCACCTGTAGTGTTAGCTGACGGCAGTTAACACGTCATTTTGTCAAGGTCATTTGCGTCCTGCTTTTTCCTTCGGTTGGGCTAGAAGTTTTGTGGAGCAATAAAGTGCCTATTTCGGAATCGCGTTTAATGAGAAGTATAACATGATAGCACTGGAAGGAAACGATCCAAAGAGATTCCATTCAGCTCTTGGATGACCACACAGAAACTGCACTTCCCATTCATCTTCACCAAGACAAATGGAGAATTGTATGGGCTGTGCGCCTCCTCAATCACATCCACGTCCAGCATCTCCTGTACTTGCCTCTTCACTTCAGCCTCCAGATGGATTGGTATTCTTCGGGGTTCATAGGGCCGATACGTCTGCCGGGTTAGCGGGATGGTGTTCTCGATTCAGTCGCAAAATCCGTACGGGGTGCCGTCATCCGTAAACAAGGGGCGATGCTTTGGGATCAGTAACTGCAAGGTCGGGCTCAAATGTAACGTGGCAACAACCGATTGCGAAGTATCGTCCCTCCCCGGTCAATGTGTGGCAATGACCCGTATATAGTCAATAACTTCCCTCGTTTTAAATCGACGATAGCCTTGTTGAAATCCAGAAAATCTGCTCCCAATATGGTTTCGTTCGCATCTAGTGACACGATGAAGATGTGCGTTAGTCTCCGTCCTCCGATTCCCACGATGTTTGCCATACCGTTAATGCCCACTGAGTAACCGCCAACAGTTCTTACAACCATGGAGCACGATTGAAGCTTTTCGCATCGCCGATGGTTGATCAGCGACACTGAGATACCCGTATCGATCAGACACCGTTCCATCGTTCAGTCTACTTCCACCATTGCTTCGATCCCCAGCTACTCAGTGTCCAGAGCACACATTCCTCGATCCGAGAAGGAAAACAAGATTGAATGCGTGTATTTGTCAAAGGACAGTGGCGCACCTCACTGGACATTGTCCTTTCGAGTGTCCCGGTTTCCCGCAAAGGAAGCAACATTCCCATGCTCGCTCCTCCGAGCGCTGAGGAGGAAGCCCATTGACACCTTGCGCGAGCTGTCCCATCATTCGTTCCAAATTATCCAACCGCTCCATGCGTCCATGGTGTTCGTCCTTCAGCGCAGCGAGTGACGCATCGCACAGCTCTCGAATAATCTGCGTCAACTCCTCCAGTCGCATATGCCGAATAGCGTTCGCAATCCGGACGCGTTCCGCGATTGTCTGTGGGAGACCGGCCATGAAATGATCAACCAGTAAGTGCTGTTTTGACGGCTCGTCCATTTCTGGAAAGGCCCGGTCTAACGAATTTCTGATGTGAAGTGCAAACACGAGGGGATCCACTCCTACACCAAGCCGCGCCGCCTTGAACCGGGGCACCGTCTCTCGGTGGTCGCCCGGGCTGTCCGTCACTTGTCCATCTGGTTACACGCTTCTTCCGTTGGTCCGGTGCCACAGCAAATCTTGACTCAAGTGTGTACAGTCTATTCGTAGGCTGGAAAACCAATTCGCCTATCCACTTCTCACGGGTACACGCTTTTCCGCCAGACCGATCTGATCCTGTGCATTTGGAACCTGTTGGCGCCTGATTGGTCACCTCTACACTCAGTGGATGTATGTTTAGTTGGCTGGCTGTCCTCGTAAAGCTCGACGTGGGCGTGCGCCGACCACTCGCTGCTCGGCCGACCAATCCGCTTCTAAGGACATGCTCACTTTGCTTCGGACTAAATTGCATCTGTACGGTAATCCGCGAAATGCAGCGTAGTGCGCGATTGGTCATCTGCCTAACGATACCATAGCGTTTCCACTAGCCATCGGTTTCAGCCACCAACACATAGGGCACGTCTGAAAACCTCATTCTCAGAATGTGCGGCCGAGGAATAACATATGCCCACAAGACAGTGTCGCAAACAACATGCCTTTACCTTCCACTTCCTTTTCTTTACATGTGTTACTCAGCAGGACACCGTCAGCGAATTCACTAGCTATACTTAAAAAGCGACCCAGTGCCACTATACATTTCAATGTACGCGCCCCGTTAGCAGGCGAGATTTTAAACACACTCGGAGTTGATGTAGCATGTCACCAAGACACGCACACGAGACAACGTCCTACTTCATCAACTTATTTGGTTGGCGGCTTCCGGTTCCGGATTTGCTTGTCCATAGGACAGCCACAGGACGCCTGCGCCTACAGAGGAACCATGGGTAGTTTGCGCTGCACCACCCACAGCTCTATCCACACACCCAGTGTGCAATGTAAATCCGAATGAATAAAACCGGAAGGTATGGGAATCAGAGCCACGTTTCATCGAGGGAGCCGGCCCACAATCCTTCAACATGCACATCAGCAGCACTCTTGTCTGGTTATGTAGGGAATCATGCGAACCAGATGTACACAAGGCGGTAGCTGGACCGTAATAAGCTCTACCAATCTTTGAGTCTAGCACGGTCACAATGACAGTGCACCCCGTCCCCCTAGCAAAGATTCAGTCTCATGGAGCCAGTAATCGGTGTGGAGGTAGGTATCTTGTCAACATTCACATCAAGCGTAGCCACACTGGGGATATCAAATAACAAGCATAGAATTTGAGGGAAAGCAAACATGCAAGATTGACACAGAATATGCACCAGAATAACAGAATGGAACAAACTAAAAAAAGTGGAATGACGTTTATCCAGATTGAAAAGATCTAGATTAAGTGTAAATTGGCTTAGCCCAACTGCGGAGAAGAAGCAGAAGCAGGCTAAAATGATAGAACCTGCGCACTTCGCGCCTCTCGTGATGTCAAGTCCGCGACCCGCGGTATTTACAGTGCCGGAGTCGCCGACACTAGGACACTTGGGTGACGCTGAACCGCCGTACATGTGGCAACTGACACAAAACTTCATCGGGATCACAAAGCAGCTGCATAAAGCTACGCTCCGAATGTAATCTAGAATCCGTCAAAGACAATCTGTAAAGCACGTCTCCGTCAACCGAATGGTAGAAGCAGGGATTTCGTGATGGTTGTGGTTGCTCGCCTAAAAACCGTTTCGGAGTCGATGCTTGCTAAACTGACAACGGTGACCGTTTTCTTCAGATCAACGTTGATCGCAGCCTCTACACAGCTAAGACGGCTTTCCAGGACAAAGGTTTAGACTGAGTCACACAGCGGCCACAGAACGACAGGCGTCCTAAGTTTGGAAGGACCAGATCCCCATCAGTCAAGTTGGAGCGCTTGCCTTGTGTATACTCGCATAACAACCACCGTCTGTTTCGACCGGCCGGTGGCCGAGTGGTCTGCGTGCCTGGTTTGTAACCATCATGTCACCGATTTGAATCCGTTTAGGGGGTGGGCGTCCTCGCGGTATACTCAGTGCGCGCGCGACCGTCGGTGGTCGCGCGGCAGCGAAGTGCTGTCACAGTGTACGGCTGATGAACGATCGCCAACCGGATTCATAACCTGGGAAGTATTATTCTCTGTCGGAACTGTAACATGAGTTGCACTGACACACGAGATAGGCGGACCGAATATGGCCTGGAATCGACTTCAATGTGGTGGCATGTTCACCCAATCACATCGACTGGACTGGATACTTTGAAGAGCAATGCAAGCAGACTGATATACAAGCATTGTTGACTGGGTCATCTGAAGCCGTTGTGGACGATGATGTAACGAGTTGAAGCATAAACCAGATCAGACAAGAATTTTCACGCAATTCAATAGGGACCATTCATGTCGACGGAATTGCACCGCACCCATTTACTTCCGATGCCGATAAAATATTCTCGTGCAATGAAAGTTCCAGGTGATGAGTAGGTCAAAGGTGTCGACCTGAGCTAACGTAATAGATGGATGACACATGACGTCGTGAGTCATTCCACGGAAAGGTGCCGGTCATGAAAAACTGGTCTGATAAATCGTAGGAAGGATCGGATGAGGGTGACAAACAAGACAAAACCAGGAGATAACGGCGCGCTGCCATTTGGATGGCGGGTTAAATCATTCTAGTTTAATTCGGTTTCCCAAATTTGACTCGTACACAGGAGTGTTTTGAGTCTAGTGATGTAGAAATAAGAAATGAATAAAGGTCCTAGACGGAGCGGTTGTGAGTCGAAACTAGGGAAACGAGTGCATAAACGCCAGTGCCTTTGTGATCGTGCCATATCCGGGAAGACGATGGGCAACAACTGGACTCGGCCTTTCGGTGACCTTCATACATCTTTGACATGTTATTTTCTGACCACTTCGGGGTTCCATCTAGATGGGTGAGCTATAGAAGAACACAGCACGTGCACGGGCAGCTAGACATGTTAAATCGGGAGCGGAGCCTCACCTATCAATGGAAAGTACGCCATAATGTTCGCAGACTTATGCATTCAATCTGGTGGAAAAAAGTAGAAAACGACAAATGACATCACTCAAAGCTAAACAAGGTGCACACGTACCCGGAACGAGGCGACGCACCGTGCTAACTAGTTCGCGGTAAGCCTCCGGAGTGTATCCACGGCGCATGTTTTCAAGAACACGACGACTTCCAGACTGCGCAGGCAAATGCAGATGAGGGCAAATGTTCGGACGTTCACCAATCAACTGGAGAACCTGAAAGAGAAAGGGACAATTGTGGCGAACTGTTTTCAAATCAGTGCATGGCGAGAGGCTATCGAAATTGTTAATTCTTACTTCGCTTGGAAAATCTTTTGGATGAGGAGAGGTGAAACGCACGCGCAACTCGGGACTGATTGCGCTCACTTCGTCCAACAGGTCAGCAAAACGCAGGCCGCCATGTTTGGTGCGGTAAATTGTCTTGAATCTGGGTGTCAGTTGGCAGTCGGAGTGAGCCATCGTTCTCTCAGTGGACACGGTACGATCACAATAACTATTCACATTTTGTCCAAGAAGGGTAATTTCGCGGACACCCTGTAAGAAAAGTGGAGCACGGGGGGAAGAAATAGTGAGTGGGTCTATATATTAGCATTTTTGCGAAAAACTCTTCGTAAAAGGCGCAAAGATATTAGGATTGCTGGAATTCGGCTATTAAAGAGTGGGAGAACACCACACGTTTTGATGTAGTCCACTATTATGAAGATCGTTAATCAGGTGGAAAAAAACACATTAGTTGGTGATTGTTAATTCGGAAGAGATGAACAAGCCTTGTCACTACCTAGTAAGAAGGTGAGAGTGAGTTTAGTTGCATAAAGCCACCCATTGCGGAGGTTTTGGATCGGCAGACCACCAGACCAAGTCGATACTGAAATGGACAGAACATCAATATGGAACAGTTAAGATTCTGGTTGACGGTTTCTCCTATGCTGTGACAGGATAACGGTGTCGATGCTATTGGGCGGCGATTTCGAAAGACCATGTCGAGCGGTTTGCGTTCGGTGAGCCCACGCAGACAAGTCAGCCAGGGAAGTGCAGTATTCGCGCATGCTTACTTGTGTGCTCGGCGCACAGAAATGAGGTCCAAGTAAATAAAAATATGAAACTATATCTGTGGGCGACAAGTAACAAACCATTTGTCATATGACGGACTTGAAGGTATCATGCCGAAATTGGTTAGATTGCGATCGAAAACCAGGGCGAAGCAATATGAGTTCACAAATGCACAGTAAGCCGAACATCAGTTATAGACAATCCAACGCCCATGATTATCATTCCTTGGAGAAAATATCACATCGAATTCAAGCAGTACGGAAGCAAGCTTTAAGAAGTGCCGGGTGTTATCTCCTCCGAAAGGGACGAATATTCAACAACAAGGTTCACGGAGAAAGGCTATATTGTTGCTGTGGAACCATCCGGTACCACAGATTTTTATCCGAGTTATCGCGAAACCGGAATCCAGAAAATGTGGTGGCAAATGGGATCCAGGCACGCGGCGGCACGTGAATCGCGATACAGCCATATATTGGTGTGGACCAGTGGAGATGACACTGTGTCCGTTGCACAGATAGCATACAGGGACAAGTGTTAATATGAATGACGACATCGTGGATACTCTCACTTAAAATCGCAATCGATGGAAAACTGCAATGGGACGCTTAAGTAAAAGGGAGTCCGTGATAGAAGGTAAAATCGGTGGCCATTCATGATAAACAGATGGTAAGTTGTAAGTAGTAGGGGGGATTTGTTAGGTTTTCGTGTAGATTCGTCGCAGTTAGACACAGACAGACAGCCACAACACACCCAGGAAAGCGCTAGACGGCCGTTTCGCCCTATTGGGACTCGTCAGTAGCGCGCACCCGCCGAATCCTGCAGGATTCGAACCCACGACGTTACCCTTGCGTGTCAGCGACTTATGTCACTGAGCCATGGGCGACGGCAGCAGGCCGCCATGACTACTGATATCTAACTGCGATATAGCGCGGCTCATCCTCCACTGTCTTGCAAGTTATAAATGTGCAGAGGACAGGGCTGGCCCCCAGTGCTACGACTTCCTTTGCAAGGCGCCACCAATCGAGGTGGCATGTAAGCTGCTAAGGCTCTGGGGGCCAGCCCTGTCCTCTGCACATTTATAACTTGCAAGACAGTGGAGGATGAGCCGCGCTATATTGCAGTTAGATATCAGTAGTCATGGCGGCTTGCTGCCGTCGCCCATGGCTCAGTGACATAAGTCGCTGGCTCGCAAGGGTCACGTCGTGGGTTCGAATCCTGCAAGATTCGGCGGGTGCGCGTTACTGACGAGTCCCAACAGGGCGAAACGGCCGTTTAGTGATTTCTTTGGTATGCCATGGCTGTCTGCCTGCGTCTAACTACGACGAACCTACACAAAAAACAGGTGGCAAGACAATATTCTTTTGTTCAGGAGTTTATCGGGCGACACCGATGACATATGTTCTATCAAAATAAATAATAAATGTGTCAGCTGTACGCAGTAACGGCGCTTCGCTGCCACGCGACCACCACTAGTTGCGCGCAGGCTGAGTATACCGCGAAGACGTCCACCCCTACGCAGATTCGAACTGATGACCTTATGGTTGCAAAGCAAACGTGCAGACCACTCGGCCACCGGCCGACTATCTTACCGAGCATTATGCGTTTTCCTCATGTTCACAGAGTTCAAGCGGAATTCAAGGAAGGTGAACCAAGCCGTAGTCCCCACTGCCCAAATGCAAATTGGTTAGTACCTTCTTCGTTTGGTGAATACTTATAAGTAGGAGGTCTTGGTGTGACGTACAGAAGAATCGTCGCAGTTAGCTCGCAGCCGAACAGTAACAACTTACGTATATGGTGGGAGGCTGTCTGACTTCAAGCCTACGGCGACGAATTATCCATAAGTGGGGATTATTATTAAATTGGATTCTATGAGTCGCAGTTTTGAGTACCCCAGAAGTCGTGCGTGACCATTAGCCTTAGACCATGACACATTACAGCTATCGGTTGAATTCAGCCGGAATAAATTCTCTGGTCCGTCCGTACATGAATAATGTCGCTCATGTCCAACGGAATTCCGAGGTTACGAGTGAAAAAGCAGATGGATAACCCACAGGTGGCGAAGTAAAACAGTCACTCACTTCCTCAAATAGTTGTTTTGCTTCTTGAACCACCGAGTTTAAGGGTCTACTGCGTTCGCGGCCACGGACGAATGGGACGATACAGTAGGTGCACATATTGTCGCAACCACGCATCACAGAGATGAAAGCGAAAGGACTGAGTCTCCGGTCTTCAGACTCAGTTCCTGGTGAACAACACTGGCGAACAGGGGGCACGTCTGCATATGTCTCTTCCAGTGATAAGGCGACGCTAGAACCCTGGAGTCCCGCATAAGCATCCTCGATGAGACGAGGCAAGTCGCGATAAGCGTCGGGACCGCATACGAAGTCGGCGCCTTGTAAGTGTTTGAGATCGGATGTGTTGGTGCTGGCAACTCCCCAGGATGTTTGATCTACATGTGACGCGCTACTCAGCAAACGATCTTTCAGACGCTCGGCCATACAACCTGGGACAAGAGTAAAGAACAACATTGAGAAAGACAAAACTTGCATATAGCTTGTGAAAAGCAATGTGAGCTGTCTTCTATTGCTATGAATTTAGGTGCCAGTGAAACAATTAAAGCAGATGACTCATTGCATTTAACCTGCAGCCACCCACAAGTCCGGAAAAGAGCTAGATGGCCGTTTCGTCCGCCCGGAATTCGTCGGTAGTGTGCATCCCGCCTCCATCAGGAACCGATACCATAACCTCCAGATGTCAATGCCTGATGCCGGCATGTCATGGGTGACGACCAATACCGAATGTCATAATATCTAAGATAACTACACACAACTTATAGAAACGACGTAAATAGCTACTGTAGGAGAAGCCGTAGCTCTGGTGACCAATGCTGTCCCCAGCGTGGCAGTGGAAGATCAGTAACATTACACCTCAGTTACCTTACAAGTAGTGGCGAACGGTCATCAACAACTATAGCCTAGTAGCATAAGCCGTTGAGGTCATGGGTTTAATTCCTGGTGGCGCCGGAGGATGCGCACTACAGACGAGTCCCATTAGGATGAAACAGATGTCTGATGAAGTAGATGGATATTGGATGTCGCCCGCCCGAAAACACTGTACTCTACAACCGGTTTCAAAGTTATTTGATCTCATGAGGTGGAGATGTTGCCCGAAACTTCAACCCCTAAGCCACCGGGTCACGGCGTGCGGCGCTCGGCACAACAGGTAATGAATGATTGGAGGGGCACTTTGAAACACTACTTAGGTGAATGGGTTGTGACACGCAATCTCAATGTGAACCGCGATTTCTACTGAAGTAAACCTTGGTCGATTCGCGCGTCGCAGTCGATTAAAACGAGTGGATCAAAATGACTCTCCAATCGGCCGTCTGGTATATTCCCGGACGTTTGCAAGACTGATTGATAGATAAATGTGAGAAATTACAAAAAACCCATAAATTGCAGCAAGCCCTGGCGGGTCGCTCGAATGGCAACATATATAATACAGATGCATGACAAAAATTTGAAATCGAAAATAGGAGGCAAGTGGGAGGAGGCTGACACATGAAGTTAGTGATGTGCTTCAAGCAAGATAAGGCTGGTGCCACTATGATGCAAACATAAAAAAGGGTATCGGAAGAATCATATTTGTAATTCCGCTAAGGTGATAATAGTATACAAGTATAGAAAACTATTATGCACACAAGCCCAAGTAACATGTGAAGTTAGAAATCATATGCGTGGTGCTAGAGAAACATCTTTAACGTGTCAATTGAAGCCGAATCTACGGGTATTTCGCAGCATAGTTATGTTGATCACAAAATTCAATGGATCTGGCACGACTCATTTGCCGTGATGAAAGCAAAAGAACTCCCCATCGAAATTGCCGGGATCCATAAGTTACGAATAGAGGTTCAGAAACAGAGAGGAACTCCGGTAAAATCTTTAAAGATTGGTAATTCCATACACAGGCGCTGCTTTCCATCCCAGGTAGCCGATCATGGAAACATGTTCATTTTTGCAACAGTCTACGAATAAACACAGAGCCACCAGAAACCATGGGACTCAAAAGAAGGTACAAAAATAGTAAAAGAAAACACAACGCAACACATCAATGTCCATGGTTTCTTCAGAGGGAGAGATACTACCCTGTTGCCCAAGCCGAAGTAGGGTGCTGACTTAGGGGACACCACCCCGAGCCTTTGACTGAATACCCTGCCCATAAGGCAGCGGAGCGAATTCAGGGAATGGCGCCCATTGGCAGCCGGTGACTGATTGCTCAGTACACCCGATTTTCGTTTGTTGCTTTGTCAAACAGGGGCGCAATGCTCCCCAGAATTACAGCATAAATTAGTTGGAATACAATGCTTCGCCAGGATGAAGCAAGGTGGAGGGACTCTATTCAGTGGCGAATCACGTCCGCCACGTCAAAGTGTTATTAAACGGACATATGTGGCTTTATAGGGAAAACGTCTGCCAGGCGAAAACCCACCACGTATTGGAACACTGCCGCCGAACCATTTGCTGAAACGGGAAAATCCCGAAACACCCAGCTGGCACCACGAGGTTGTCCGGCAACCAGCCTGCGAACACGTGGCGGCAGAGCCAATAGTGTGCTAAGGCCGGTGACTACTAGATCCTGACAGATGGTCTACCCACTAATGCTACTGTTATGTCATGTACTCATGACCTGGACGCCTCGTGGCGACCGCTGGGTGAGAGTTGCGCTACGCCCCTCTCCTAGTTAAGAGCCACGACACAAAACCGCATGAGTCAGTGGACTGACCATGTGCTAGACCCGCTGCCTTTCGGGTGTACATTTAATCGAAGGCTTTGGCTGAGGACCCGAGTCGTTCTCCTGTCAGGTGTTGGAGTTCTGCCAGCATTCCAGTCCAAACCCCTACCTTTTCGGATGTTAGAAAGTGGACGATGACCCTCTTCCCGTAAAACCTAAACATGGGAAATAACAGGTCCACGGGTTATAAGCTCACCGCTCGATTGGCGTAGAGGACGAGCGCCACGCATTGTCTCTGACGGCGGGCGGGCACCTTCGGGTGTTCAATGGTTTGCTACTGACCACCTCAAGCCAGGCAGCCCCTGGTCAAATTGGTGCAAATCTGCCTCCTGCGTCTGGCCGTGGTCGCAGGCACGTATCCTACTATCGTCGCAAAACACAAATGAATTGTTCCACAACTTCAAAAGCTGCGTGTGACGACCGTCAAACAGATTCCAATTTGTCTCTGCAATTACATTCCCGAGATGGATCTGTTCCTCACTGCCTTTTGGGTCAGGCTATTGAGCCAGAGGCTCCGGGCGGAGCCCCTCAAGCAAACCTCCAAACCACCGACTGTCTTGTCGGTCAGGCTATTGAGCCAAAGGCTCCGGGCGGAGTCCCTCAAGCAAACCTCCGAAGCACAACGACCATCTCGTGTGCGATTGCCCACCGATGCAATCGTATGCCTGCGCACAAAGCCCTCAGCATCGGGTGCTGGAACGTGCGCACACTACTAGACCGGAACTCCAGCGAGCGCCCCGAGCGATGGAGCTGGCGCGCTACCACATCGATATTGCGGCGCTCAGTGAAACTCGGCTCGCTGAGCAAGGTAAGTTGCATGAAGCAGGTGCTGGCTACACATTCTATTGGGTGGACAACGCCGCCTCAGAATCACATGAACATGGGGTCGGATTTGCAATATCCGATCGCCTTCGTGACCAGCTGGTGAGTGAACCAACCGGCATCAGCGCGCGACTGATGACTGTTCGCCTACGACTCAGAAGAGAAAAGTTTGCCATTTTTATAACCACATACGGGCCTAGCATGTGTTATCCTGATGAAACGCGTGATCAATTCTACACTCAGCTATCCTCCGTGATACGGTCTGTGCCGAGGAGCGACCGACTGCTTCTGCCGGGTGATTTCAACGCACGCGTTGGGCGTGATGCATCGGTGTTGACAGATGTTATGGGTCCGCATAGCATTGGTTCAGCAAATGCGAAAGGTGACAGGCTGCTCTCACTGTGTGCCACTCATGGCCTGACGATCACGAACACTCGGTTTGCACTGAGTGCGAGTGATATAGCAACTTGGACGCAACCGCGGAGTGGTCACGCTCACCTGCTCGACTATGTCATCGTACGTCAGCGTGATATACGTGAAGTGCGCATGACAAGTGTACTGGGTGCAGCTGAGTGTGACACTAAACACAAATTGGTGCGAACAAAACAGTACATATATTTTCGTAAAGCTATGTATTGCACTACCGCCCTGAGTCGCCGTAAATTTAACATGTTCCCTCTCGGTAATGTGGCGAAACTTACTAAGCTGGAGAAGGCGATGGCTACATGCTTGTGTGATGTGGACTGCATAGCCACAGTGTGCGACCTGTTGCACCACATTCGCGACTAGTTGACACCTGCTGCCGAGGAGATCATCGGGCGCACAAACTGGAAGCAGTCTGGTTGGTTTGATGAGAACAATGCGACGACTGGCGCATTGGTGTGTGAGAAGAATGCATCCTTTGCTGCACATGTGGCAGACCCCAGTGACTTGGGGAAGAGTAGTCAGTTTAGCAAACTTCGACGGCGACTGACCCGAGAGCTCCGTCGCATTAAAAATACATGGTGGACGGAGAAGGCGAAGCAGATGGATGCTTCGCAGAACACCGCCAACACAAGGAATTCTTTGACTCCTTGAAGGCGGTGTATGGACCGAGCTTTGAGCCGCTGAGGACGCTGATCGATGGTAGTTCAGGCGCTACCTGCACACAGACTGTAGACATAATGCAGATCTGGCGGAAACACTTTGACTGTCTCTTGAACAACCGTTCAGAGATCAACTGACCTACTTTGAATAGCCGAAAACATCACGATGTGAAGACGAGTCTGGCGGACACGCCGACACTGGATGAGACGCAGAGAGCACTTGCACAGCTGCGAAACGGCAAATATGCCGGAGCCGACGGGATCCCGCATGAAGTATGGAAACACGGGGGACCCGCGTTGGTGACTGCGCTGCACCACTTGGTGCAACGCGCATGGATTGAAGAGGAGGTGCCTCCTGAGCTGAAGGATGCCCTTGTGCTGCCACCGTACAAGGGCAAAGGTAGCAAGTAATGTTACATGTATTATAGTGGTAGCAACCTGCTGAGTTGTGTGGGCAAGGTGATTGCCTAAATCCTGCTCAACCGCTTCATTAGTCAGACTGTGGAAACGAATGTGGCGGAAGAGTAGTGTGGATTCCGCTCGGGCCGCAGCACCATAGACATGATGTTTGAGGTTCGTCAGTTGCAGGAGAAATACAGCGAACGACGTCAGCCGTCGTACTCGCTTTCTGTTGATTTCACCAAGGCATTTGATACGGTGAACCGCGAGGCAGTGTGGCTGGTGTTGGGTAAGTTTGGTTGTCCGCATGAGTTTGTGAGTTTAATTGAATGTCTGCACAGTGGCATATGGGCGAGGGTGCAGCTGAGTGGAGAGACCTCGGATGACATTGCAGTTGCCACTGGTG